ACCGCTTCATTCTTTATATACTACAATTCTTTGCTTTACTGCTAATATCAAATCTGTTATAACATATGAAATACATTTTAGGCTTACATTAATACGCATTAAAGTACATATTAACATATAAATTTATATTAAACAAAAACATATTCTCGCATTTTCATAATATATTATCAAAGAGCAATATAAAATTCTGCATTTCAAATACAATTATGAAAAGTACATTTCTCTTTTTTTAACGCATTTTTAAATTGACTAAACTTCATTAACATGTAAACTTAATATAATATGTAATTATATTTGCTTATATACCGCATATAAATAAAATCACGTAAAATATAAACAATAAGGTTATTTGTAATGTTATTTATAACCTAACGCGATTAATAAAAAATAAGTGAAAACGTTTTGTACTAAAAAGGTAGTATTACGTACATATATACTTACATTAATAACAGAGCGTTACTAGCCTATTTCACTAAAGTAATCACAGTTTATTAATAAGAGATGTAGAGGCATATTACACGGCGGATCAAAGATGTTACGTAAAAATTAAAACGTGACAATCACTCCGTAAGGTGTATTTTCATCTGTAACTGTCAATAATAATATGCAATATAAAAATGCTTGTGCATTTGGATAAGCAAAATTATCCGGCCGTTGTATAAGTATATATAAATGTAATCCTAATCTTACAAAAGTAAAAACGATTAAAAGCACTCCTATCCGTGTCCAGATAAATGTGCATAAAAGAATATTTAACTTAATCATAAAAAGGCAAACATAGATTAATCCTAAGTATATACATAGTATCAGAATTTATATTAAGAGTTTCGTTGTTTTATACTCGTTTTTTTTTACGAAACTCGTTATAGCACAGATTCCACAATAGTTATATATTAACTATAAGATGTGTAGAATATATAATGAGAATATATTTATGGAGAGATCGATAATATATAATATAATCGTAATAACATGATAATTTTAGATACACGTCGTATTATTGATATATCTCTCTCATAAATGATTTCCCTTACAGAATGGAATGTTAAGCGCAAACAAATCTAAAATAGCTTTTAAACTATCATCTTTTTCCGCACGTTGTAAATCACTACTCGTTGAGTAAAACGTTGTAACGATTTCTTCGCTCTTTATCTTTCATTAAATTCAGGGGAATATTTCGACGGAACATTACATAGTTATATACATTTAAAAATCGATGTTCTCGCGAAAGATAGTATGGAAAGGAATATAAAAATAATTTTAATAATATGTACAAACAGATTTATCGAGTGATTTCTTTGTTATAAATGTTAAGCAGTAATTATTTTTTGTTTTCGGCACTCATACGGATTGAGCAGAAGTCATACGTTACCATTATTAATATGTCTATATATAAAATAATTTTGCTAAGACACGACTGAATCGCGCGAGTGGCTGTCAGATCTCTCAGGTATTTGTGGTACACAGAATATGTGCCAGAATTCCAAGTGCACCGCCTAGAACAAAGCGAACGAAATTGTTGCCGACTAGAGGTCCTAACGCGTAAAGTCCTTTTATTGGCGCGTTGATTACTTCGTATGTGAAATCATCGATTTGAATTGGATTCGATTTACTATCGATTGGTTTGTCCGCAAATTTACCCAGCCCCAAGCCACCGCCCTTTAAGTATGATAGATCTGGTTTATATCCTAAAATAAATCATTCAATATAGTACAATATAATTCAATATAATTCAATATAATAATTTATTAATTAAATACTTCCATACTAAAATCAATATTCAATTTTCCAGTTTTACTAGTTTATATTGAGAAATATATATTATAAAGAAATATATATTTACCAATAAGAATAGCCGCAATGGACACTTCAAATGTATGCAGCTGATCGTCTGAAGTGGAAAAAGTAACTGTTCTCCTCGTGTTTATATCTCCATTTTCACGACTCTCACAGAGACTAACGAGTGTGTATCCCGGCAACGATTTGTATAAAGGATAATTTGTACCTCCATCGGCCATCATCTCGTATACTTTATGATATTCCGGATATATGGAATCCGGCAGCCATCGCAGTCGATCGTAACTAGTAGTTATCCTTTCAGCAGTTTGTTTGTCCCATTCGCTCAACGAATTGCGAAATGCATGCAGCACGGGTATGCCTCGAAAGCGTGCAGCCATAATCGCGTCGGCTGCACTCAAACCAGCTCCGATTACCAACACGGGTGGAATTTGTTCATCGGTTGAATCTTTGCCTACGGTTAATAATTTTTCAAATAAACACAAATTCAAAAAGCAATTATATAATAAAGTTAAGAGTTGCAGAAGAAAAGAATAGATTATTTCAATTATTTCTTTTTCTTTATATAATTTTTTACATTTTACATACCACATTCGTCGACCAAATGTCCCAAACGAGTTTCCAAATCATTGAGATCGTGCGTTACCCATTTGGGATTCGTGTTTTCGCCCGGGATATCCAAATGATTTGATAAATCGGTTGTGCCGGTTGCAAGAACCGCCCGTTTGCATTGATATCGAAATCGTTTACCAGTTTTATTCTCATAACCGTCTATAATCCAATTGTATCCTTCTTTGCTCTCAGGCGAATCCAAGTTTGGTCTTACTGAAGTAACTGTGGTCCCACTATAATGAATTGCTTAGTGAAAGTCTACATAACCGTCAGCAACGGATTTATAATATTAAATTCATTTCAAATTTACCATCGAAAATATTGTTTTAAACCTTTCCTGCGTACATAGTCCTTGTAATAAGCTGCCACGGTGCCCACGGAAACTCGGCTAGACGCCTTACAAATGCTCAGTTTTTCCAGCCGTGCATGTACATTGCTTTTCGCGGCTAAAACTGATTTTTGTAACTGTTCAACCTCGACGAGTTTCTCCCAATGCCTCAGATCCAAGTCAGGAAGTGACATCCATCGGCTCAGACTGATAGTTAGTACATTGGGATCCATAGACTAGAGATAATCATATCAAAAAAAGCGTTAAATCAAACAACGTCGAAAGAATTTTCCACAGCGTGTAAGTATGTTACATTAAGTGTTAGATAATACTGTTATAATTAGCCTTACCTCAATTTCTTATGTAAAGCTCATGATTTTTCAGATGTAACGTAGATCTCAGCTAGTTTTCTTTTCTATATTACTTCGTAAACTTTTCTAATTATTACAAGGAAATAACGCTCGTGACAGACCTGCCAGGCACCGCCGGGTTGGCCCTTGCCAAGGACGACGTGGTCCACGATTCTGTGCTCGGGATGTTCATCAGCGGAGCTCCAGTTGATAAGTGACGGCACATCGAGACCGGCGTCGACGCACGGATGCTGTAGCTGGTCCATGAGAAGCGCCAGCGGTCGGCCGCCGCCTCTGCCCTCGATGCCAGAGGAGAGGCATTCGAGTTTACAGCGTGTGCTGCGTGCCAGCCCGCCATTCTGCATCCTGCCGACGCCGGACTTGCTGCACTGATGGCGATTGTTGGTGGTCACGCCAGTGTTTGCGTCCTCCGGCGCGTCACCGCACTCCTCGTTGCCGGTAGTGCAGAACCGCAATCGCGCCGTCAGCATATCGTCGCTGGGATGAGGTTCGCCAGTGTAGTAAGGCCAATTTCCGGCGAGCATATACGACAGGCATATCCCACTAGGCCCATTTCCTAAGAAAGAAATGTTACATAGAATCCGTATATCATAATTTCTATTTCTTCAACGACAGACAAACTCTACGCTACATACGTGCTCTGATTGTTTCAGAGCTATCTTTATTAATTCTTTTCAAAAGATTCTCTTTATTTATCTATACGCTGTTGCTTTTACAATACGAAGAATTTTACCTTTGTAAAAAATTAATTCTAAACATAGAAAAAGCATAGATAAAAAGTTCATCGAACTTAGTGTGGTAGTGTCAAATAATCACACGTGCGCAGAATTTGACCGGTCCACAGAATCAGAAAACTGAAGATTCAATTTTAAATCAAATTAAATATATTTTATTAAATGTTTAAATTTTCTTATTTATTCTCGAGCTACATTAAATAAAGTTTTTTTTAATACGCGTTATTATAGGAAAATATATTTCTTAATATCTCGTTACATCACTTCTGTAAACCTTTCATTGTCGAACTATTAAATCAATCCTTATGAGGATGCTCACCTATGATGACAACATCTTTATAAATGACGTCATTATCGTCGACCTCAAATGCGTTCTGCATTTTTCTTTTTTATGTATCCGATGTCTGCGTGAATGGCAATTCACCGCAATTCTTTTCTCCTCGATCCGCTCGAACACTGTAAAAAGAATTAAAAAAGCAATGATTACTTCGTTACGAAAGAGCAACATATATAAACGAACATCTTAATGCGAATATAAAAATTACAGTAGAACCGCATTTATCATTTTGAAATAATCTCTAGTTGTAGCGAATATTTCAACATTTGTCACGCTTGTAAGATTATTAGTAAGATTATTACACCAGAAGGCCAGAAAGGTTTATCGTTAAGCGATGTCTCTCAATTTTTTCGCACGTGTAGGTAATTTTAAGCTTTTAACGTATCTCAAGTAATAAGGTATAAACATATTAATGAATGACGTTTTTCTTAATATATTATATAATTTACCAATACACAAAATTGCGCTTCACTACGAATTACGTACCATGATCGCGAAAAAGATAAACAAGCTGCTGCGTGTTACGACGAGATTTTCTGCGCATTAATTAATTGCACCGTATGTAAAAATTTGATAAGATAAACGAGACACTTCTTTTTGAATGACATTGCGATTTATTAAGTGTTCAACAATCAATGTGAATGTTCTTACGGCAAATAATTTATGAATCGTGTAGAATATATCCGACCGTAAGCGGTTGCCGGTTATTACGATTGTCGGGAATACGAGATCTTGAAGATAAACGACGATCATGCCGTTAAAAAGTAAAAGTCGTGACCTTCGTTCTCATTAACGGCCTTCGCCGACGTCGATGTTTCCTACTCTCTAATGCTTAACCGGTTCACCGATATGGATTATCGTGAACATGAATCGGCGAACCTTCCTGCCGATCGATCGTTAAAAATAGCCTGGTTATTTAAGCGAAAAATAAAATATTTTTAATTTAATTAAAATTTATTATTTAATTCTTTTGAGATAAAAATATATTAAAAAATCGTAAAACGGATGAATCTAAAAAAGTAAATAGTTTTTAAAAATATAACGATAATGTAATAAAGATAGAAATATAGAAATGTGATAAAAATTAAATTCTCATTTACGTTTATGGACAAATTGATAATGTTACAGAAAACGTTGTTAAGAAGAGCAGAGTTAATAGGACATCTAATTTATATGCACGATTAAGAGATAGATTTATATATAGCTTCATTCCCCTCATTATTCATCGCTTCTACTCGAGATCATCTACTTTGCAAATAATCGAAGGAAACGTCTCGTTAATTTATACTCATGGTTCATTTTCATTATGACGCTTAATAATTAAGAAGAGGCAGCATCACTCGCGAAGATCGACGAGACAAGAATTGACAATGGTCCAACCGGTTGAGCGATCTCACCGTAAGATTATTAGTATTGTCTGACGTTTATTTTTATCTAAGTGACTAAAAATTATCGAAACAGATATCTTTGTGAAGTGAAAACTGCAAGAGAAAAAATGTCTAGACATGTGAAAATAGAACATATGAATGAAATTGTTTATCATATTATTAAGCGTGAAATATTGTTATTAATAAAAATCGTCAATTGCGACTGAGTTAACCCCTTAACTGGAATTTTTGTATTTTAAAATTTACTTAGAGGAAATCAGTAAACTTTTTCTATAATTCTCAGCGACAGTTATCGTTACGTTGTTGTTACACAGCTTTTTATCATATATTATACCTGTTGTTAAGAATGACGGGAAAAATTTACACGGTATCTATTGTGAAATTTATTTGGAACGAATTCCAATCGGAATTATTCAGTTATTTTGTAAATAGTTTTATTCTTTTCCAGAAAAAACGGATTCTAATCTGAATCCATTTCGAACTCCATTCCATAATATATGTGCCCAGAATTTTTTTCAAAGGTTAAAAATACTTTAAAAAAATTTTCCCCTTTTTTTTTAAAATAAAATTTAGAAATTATTTATTCTAAAAATTTCATTTAGAGAAACCATCTATCTTAAAGAAAACAAACAGTCAATAAAATTAAAATTAAATTAGGTTTTTTTAACGTTTTAGAAAATAAGTCCTCGGAGTGATTTTTTCCACGAACATTAGTGGTGTAAAAAGTTTGAAGGACATGCGATGGCGAGAGATTCATTATTTTTTTTCTCTCGCTTATCAAATTCCATCGAGGAAAAAAACATGAGTTCTGGCAATTTCTCGCGGAAACACGGAGGAATCTCATCATAAAATCTATCGAAGGTAAATGGCAGGTGATTATTTCACACGATTGCGCCGATATCGATCGACTTGGTCGACAGTGTCCTAACTGGTATGCGAGGGGGTTCCTTAGTTGACAATGAGCTTTATTCAATGACGTGTACAAATATTCGAACGATCGGCTTACATACTCCTGCATGTCACCGGACGACAACGGTTTTGCTGTTCGCCGTGGGTCAGCTGAATCGATATGGAAAATAATGATGATCTAATCTATTCCTTTGGCACAATCAAATGGCAAACAAGAAACGCATATGTCCAAAGAGAATTATCGTTATCGTTACCTATAATGGAGGTAATTCAGATAATCGAAGGATCGTTACAATACCGCCTAGCATTTTATTTGCCGGAATTCTATTTTTAGAACCGTTATTTGGAATCCTAAATACACGGAATTCATGGTATCTGGCACACACGTTCATTTATTAATTTTACCGTCGTGAAATGTGTAGTTCCTTTTCTCTCTCCTTTTTCCTATTCTCTCATTAAGTTGTACATGTGAGCGAGCGATAAAATCATCGCGTCGTACGACGCAAAAATGAGGTTGTAAAATATTTCCGAGCAGGCACGTCCTTTCCCGCATTTATCACTCGAATTTATTATTCGAGTGGTCGGACGTGTGGAGCATAGAACGTAGAACGGAAAAAAGAGCTCGCGAAGCGAGCCCATTAAGAAGACAGCGAAAGATGTAAGGATGCCAACGTATTAACGATCGCCGGTTCAATCGATAGTCACCTGAATGCCTCCTTTTGCAAGATACATATAAGGTACAAAACGATGTCTCGTTGGGGTCACAACTGGTCACGACTCGCTCGATATACATCCGGTTTACGGATATCGTTATATTTATAAAGAAATCTGCCGTATAAAATTACAACTGAAACTTTAATCATCGTGCTATACCCAATGTCATACATCCGTATTGAACTTTAATCGCAGCTCTAATCCTACGTTCTACAAAGCCATGAAAACCGAAACCTGTGTAAATATCGGTCCAGGATTAATTACAACGGAGGTGGATATTTACACAGAATGTTAATTTTAATAATTTTAATTTTAAATATACTCGATACTTTAATATTTTGTCTACGTCAGACTGTGCGATGTGTGTTCTATTAATGCACGAAAAGCAAGCGTATCTCAAAGAAGCGATACGCGCGACCTTAAAGATTCGGCATTACGCATTTCGACCGACGTATACATAAGATCGTAGGTTTTATTAAGTCTGATGTAACATAATTATGATAACGAGTACCGCCGTATCTTTACGACGAGCGTAACAGGTGCGTTTGTAGACACATTTAGATATCTGCTCCAACGATTCTAGCAAGACGCCCCGCGTGGCGTCTCGCTATTCTTAATCGACGATCATCATTCGAGAAGCGATGTGAGGCGTCCGAACGGAATTCGTTTAGCGACGGACGAGAGATGATCAGCGCAGCATCAATTCCAGAGAGCGAGATGATCCGAAGATTCCGCTTATACCTCGCACCGAGGCATCACCGCTCGAGCTTGAGCTATTGGCGTACACTCGTTTTCTTATTAAAAATTTATATTAAACGCGCGCAGGTCTCGTTCTTCGATTTCATCGCAAAGTGTAAAGTTCGCGGGTCTTATATCTACTTTGCGAAACGAGCGAGGAACTAGCTTGCGCAGAAATGCAGAAGCTCCGTAAGAAATTTACGAAATTGAATCGGCCGTCATTTGCATTTACAAATCTACAAAATTACAAATGTACATTTCCCCCATCTAAATATATGGCGATTTGTTGCAATATCTTTTCTTTGGTCTGTACCGGATTCCTTTCCCACCCTTTCCCTCTCGCCGTGAATTCCAAAGAAACGAAACAAAGGAATGCGTGGTCCAGCGATTCAGCGATTTAACTCGGAATGAGTCAGCCACGAAGCCGATATACTTTGCCAATTAACTCTTGACCATCATATCTTTTAAAAGATAATTTTAGAACTGCCGTCAACTAATTATAAGAAAATTTCATAAAAAAATTTTTTTTATCTAAAGCGATTATTTTTTATCTAAAGTGTTATGAGATCTTTTAATATATCCTAAAAACCTTTTAAAAATAAGATTATTATGATTTTATTTATTTATTTGTTTCTAATAGAGAGTTCTAATAGAGAATTCTATAGAGTTCCAAAAATAATATTTTAAAAATTATTCTATCCTACAAAAAGTTATATTTCAATATCTCAATCACTGATGTTATTAACATACGTGAAAATGTTTGTAAGCTACAAAATTTGTACGTTATGACTAATGTTCTTCAATGAGGTACAAACTTACGGACAGTCAAATGGCAATGTCACGCGTAAAATTATCATTTGAAACTAAACTGATTAGCTCGAAGAAAACGAGAAGTGCCTTTTTGAAGTTTACAAAAGCAATATAATACTTGCTGAAAGATACTGATCGTCTAAATCTTCTCTTAAATTTGAAAATTAAACCGAACTTAATGAATACCTGCCATGCAAATTTGGCGTCTTTCGACGTCAAAAGCGACCTTAGCGAAAGATGATGCCTAACTTGATGCGTAGCTTTCCTAGAGCTGTAAACAAAGCTTTCGGAGAAGGGAAAATACGCAAGATTTGCAATGTCTAAATGTACACGTAATTCGTAAGAAATATAGTGCTTTCATTTATTATCACAGCCATCTCTCACATCTTAAATAACTCAAGTATCAAAACATAAATGAGACAGCCGAGAAATGTCTCAAATGATTTTTACGAAATTCTTTCATTTTTCAATCAACGGATCTTTTACCTAATCTATTTGTAATTTAAGTGCAAAACAAAAATTACGTAAACTGATAAAAAATATTATGCCGCAATCACCGACATGTGCTTCGTCGTTATAAGCAATGAATAATGAAATCAGTCATCGACACTACTTTTACGGTTGACTTTGTTAATAATGAATAGCCTTTTTATTTTTCTCTTACGCACGTCAAACGCAAACGTAAAATGCATTTAGAATATTCAATTATTTGTCATACACCTAACAATAGATGCAAATGCGACGACAATTCCCGTTGACAATTCCACAAAGATATAACAAAAAATACGTCATTGAAAATACGTAAATGCAAAATACATAAATACAATATATGTTAAAATGTAAAATGTGTATTTAAAATAAAAACCCCGTGATAATCGATAACGCGATTTTGAAGCATCCGGTTAGTACATGTCACTGTATCACTCGTCTGTGATATGGATGCTGCGAACGAATGTGTTAATCAATTTCACCGGACGATTCAGTAAACATGAGGACCGCCGAGCTCTTATTCGGCGCATCAATTATCTCGGCATTTAACCTGCGTTATTACGGGTTAATTTAAACAACAAACTCGTCCGCGGCGTATTAATCGCGACGTTACAGTCGTTACGTTCATTAAACGGCTAAATAGTATGACGCCTACATCACTTATATATAACCACAATAAACAATTTATTTGTTTAGTGTAGGTTTATTCATCGCAAACTTCCATATCAGCCGCACGGTATCATTAATATTTTAATTTAATGACTTAATTTAATGAACATGCAATATTTTAACAAAAAAATTGTGGAAAAAAAAAAACAATTTGTGCTAGAACTCTCGATTTACTTTCTGTACAACTCTTACAAATCCCTTTGATCTTTGAATATCATCGTAATGCGATTCATAAATATTTTTCTCTATGAAAATAATCCGAAAGATTTGAACGTTCCTTCGCACGTTGCAAATCATAAGACGACTCGTCGTCTCGAATTTCAACGCCTGGCCAGAGTGATACCTCGTAGAATTTCGCAACACATGTAGTTGCGCTTTTGCTAGCGAGATCAATAGTTATATAACACATACAAGCTGCATTTGTTTCTTACAGCACAAAAAATATCGCCGTGTCACTGTCATTTCGTAGCATGATGCAGCGCGATTCGAAATATATATACCCACCTCGACCACATTGCGAATACAAATTACAATTATTCAAATTTACGCTATAATTAGAAGCAGAAGCGAGTAGATTGATAACTTTATTATCTTCTATGCAATATCTATATTTATGAAGTCTTTATATTTCTTATCTCAGTTTAAGAAGATTTGAGTTACTTAATGTTATCATGATAAATGATAAAGTAATTACTGTACCAGAGCTATATTTTCGTATCTCTTCAAGTAAATAAGTATCAAAAAAGTGATAATCCAAAAATTTATTCAACCTATTTATTCAACTCTTTGTTCTTCATTTCTAGAATAATGAATGTTTCTTAACTAACTTAATTAACTGATTTCGTTTTTTAAGATTAACTTTCATACGATTACTATCAACAATTATTAAAGTTATCGAAACTGTACATATTTATCACGAGCATGAATAATAATATACAATATATATATAATAATAATATACATTCGAAAAACTCGGATAATTCGATAATTACTGCCCATTGATACGAACAAGTATCCGATAATAAGCCTCTGCAGTTTAGAACTCATTTTTTCCTGCAAGTCACCGCTCATATTCACCTGAGATGGCGGAATCATTTGCAATCGTTTTGAAAAGATTGCTGACTTAAAATTGAATTAAAATTGAAATAACGCATAAATGAAAAATCTTAACGTGAAAACAGAACGATATCGTCAAATATTTCAATAGTATTTTCAATAATAAATTGAGAGTATTTTCAACTTTCACGACGAGAAATAGAAATGCATTCTGAGTATTCGCCAAAACTCGAGCGAGCTAAAATACGCGCACGATTAAATTGCATCGCCCAGGTGATAAATTCGTACCATCGGTCGTTGGCTTCTGTAATGCCTTACGTAAGAGACGAGATTACAATATAATATAGTTAGACACAATTTCGTAATTTTAAAAGAATTCTGAAGAGACCCGTGCCGAAATATTCACGCTTCCATTTAAAATACAATATATTCCGTTGACATGTCACACTTTCCGGATAAAACATTAATTTAAAATATGATATTGAATTTATTACATCAATATTGTCAATATATCATTGATAATTGCAAATTTAAATTTCCAATTTAACATTTAATATTAATTAATATTAATATTCCCACCACTTCAGAGGTACGTGAAATGTAATGATATTGATTACGTTCAGCTTCATGTTTTATCGTTAGATTAGGCTTTCTGTTACGAAACATAGAGCTTTCCGTCAAAGTTTTCCGGTGGATAATTGACGGATTAAGCGCCGTCGCATGCTTCGTTCAGTGCACCGACAATTACGTCACTTAGGCTTATATGGAAGAGCGCACGTGAACAGAATTGTATCACGAGCGCGGAATTGCAAGCGGCTCTGCCGAAGGAGGAAATTAGATAAAGGATTATAAAGGATATATAAAAGATTATCCCCCTTGATACCCCTTAATCTAATAGAGGAGATCGCGATTATAATAATGTCTATGCAATATATCGTCGGTACACAGATGACAGATTGCTGCTTTCACGGAGCCATAGTTTCTACTATTATAGTATTATCTCTAAAGGGCAGAAGTAAATACATGCATTTCCTCATAATAATGTGTGCATGTGTGTGTGTTTCCATGAATCAATAATAATGTAATATCCATTTTTAGATCCAAAAGACTGCGAAATAAATTACTTATTAAACTTCCTTAAAAAAAAAAGTTAAATCTTTTTCGACTTTATTATTTTTTAACACATTCTTATAGATAAAATTAAATTATTCTCTCCAAAGTTTTTTTTCTTTTTCTTTGGCATACAAAATTTACTGCATATTGTGCACTTGATTGGCTAATATCCGTTATCCAATAGAAAAATACGTTTTCTACGGTGAACGAAAATGTTGCTGTCTAGTAATCATAAAAGATGAATTTTCTTATTAGATATCGGATCATCAGGATAGCGATCATAACTTTTTTCTTAGGATGGAAATGTGAAAAGTAAAAATTTTTACTCTTAAAGATAATGAGAAAAAATTTCACTTTTCACGTTTCCAGCCTAGGGAAAGTTATATAATTAGTACCTAGATGCGGTGTAAATATTCAATATTACGAATTAAATAAATGGTCTGTTTTTTGAAGTTAAACTAGTGTACTTGTATTTAAAATAAAATTAATATGTATTTAAAGTTTGACAAAAGCGAGATAAAAAGTTTAATACAGCCCAGTGCAGGAACAGAAAACAAAATTAAAGAAAAGGAAAAAAAACCTTTGGAACATCCAACGCGTGAAATACTCCTCGTGTGATTAGCAGCGAGGACTTCAGAAAGTCTCACGCACACAACACGTACTCGTCTTCTATTTCCTTTTATTTCCCGACCGTCAATCACACTGTCACTTTGTGCCTGAATATCTTCGGTATTCAGACGGATATAATTACGGATCGATAGAGCGAGTAGATTGCTATCCACGACGTTGTCACTCGCGTGTATCAGAGGAATCGTGTATGCGGAGATGCAGAGAAACGAAAAGGAAGAGACGAGACGAGAGGAGGTGTGTGTGTGTGTGTGTGTGTGTGTGTGTGTGCGCGCGCGCGCGCGCGCGCGCGTGTGGACTCATACCTGTTTCCTCCCGAAGAAATTCCTGGCGCCGATTTTGTTTTGTTTGCTGGTTTTCTCCTGCCGGCCGCGCGTTGACGTCGGTGCCGATTATCGGTGAGCTTCGTCGATCGACCGGTTATATGGGAACGTGGCTCGTGACAACGGATGCTCCTCATCCGGCGACGGTCGGCGTCGTACTGGAGCGTGCACGCCACGCGCGATCGCTTTTCCCGCGGAAGCGGACGCGTATCCGAAGGCCGCGCGTTGAATGGCGATTTCACGAGGTGATTTCAGCCGTGATATATCAGTTCCCTCGGCGCAGCCGTCATGATGCAACAAGATTGCGTTTGCGATACGACTTTCCTGCAATTAGAAATGTAATCTCAAGTGGACAATTGTGTATTTTCAAACGAGGTTGAAATTGCAAAAGTGAGGAAATTCACTGGAGTAATTTGCGACTTCGTACGTCGAAAATTAATGCATTTTCTCACTTTTGTAATTTTTAAGATACATGACAGATCTCTTAATAAACACGAAATGAATGAGGAGACAATTATATCCCGTAGTTGCTTTTTTTTAATTTATACTTTGTAAATTGAACCGAAGTGCTGGCAAATGGACGATTATATAAGCGTCGGTGTCTTATAACAAATTGACTTCCTGACAGTCATTAATGACAGGATTTCGAAATGTCTAGATGAGTAATTTGCCGGACGGTAAAGAAAAAGACGTTCTGACTATTAAAATATGGTTTCAGGCTGTTCAAAGAGTTATATTCGACGTGATCGTTGTATGTTATTATCTATATCCGACGCTGATGATAATATTTTGATGATCAATAGAGAAGAAAACGAGTTTACTGCGACGCATTTCTGCGAGCCACGTTTTCTGCTAAGTTACATCGTGAATATCTCTCCTAGATTACATTTCCTAGATTACAGGCATGGGTCGTTTTTATCGATCGATGTTACTTGTACGACATCAATAAAAAGATAGCTGGAGCATGGTGTAAAGTTAAATCGCATTATTCCTAATACATCCCTAATACACTTTTTTCTTATAGCTGTGCAAGAAGATCACCCTCTTTTGATCTTTAATATTGAATATTCATTAGATCCGAAAGTTTTTGAAATCCCTTTAGAGCGAATTCTAATCAAAGATAGTTTAAAGGAAAAACTAAACACGAGATTATAATACAGAAAGTTTATCAATACAATTTCTCGATGATGATGTCATATGTTAGAACACAAAAACGATATCGCAAGATAAGGTTCACGATATTTTCCTTCATATATATATATATATTCAATTTACATCATACATTTACAATCAGAGATAAAATTTCACATGAGTCATACTAACTTTTCACTAGCAGCTTAAAAAAACTTTTTTTATTTCATAATAATATAAAATAATAGAAATTATACATATGTGTGTATTTGAATTAAGTTCATGTATTGATATACTTTAAATTAATTAAACATTTATTAATTTATTAAAATAAAAATTTTCATATAACTTCTATATGATAAGATAAACCGTGCTATCAAATTAACGAAATAAAAAAACGATGTTTAATGATATCAATAATATAATTTTTAAAAAGATTACAGCAGATTTAATGAGTTGCTCATTTTTTCATGTATAAACCAGATCAAGTATCTTTATCGCGTCGTATTTCCGAACATATAAGAAGTAGAAAATTATTGAGAATAATTAAGTTCATACTAGTATTAATGAAGGAATTGAAAAAATTTGGAAGAGAGAGAGAGAGAGAGAGAGAGAGAGAGAGAGAGAGAGAGAGTATTTGAACCAGAAAGTTACGCCATAATTTTCATGTTTTCAAGATAAACATGATGTCTGATATTAATATCGCCCATTGGTCATTAAACAACGCCAATCAGGAGACTTGAATATCGTGGAGGCTATATCTGTCTGAATTAATGAAAATAATGGAACGACACGTACTGATTGCGAATATATATGCTTTTTTTTTCAGAGATTTTATCGCAAAAACTTATTAAATGTTAATAGAATTAATATCACGCGAAACTCCATATAGATAAAAATAGCCGAGTAATTCAATGATTTTCGCATGCATAATCTCTGTTACTTAGCTGCTAAATTTGATCATCGATTAATCAGTTCAAACAGTTTTTTTTCCTTCTCTTAGCTATTTGTGTCATCTTACTCTGTACGTGACTACGCGATAAATGTGAGCTATATTTAATTTTACATATAATATATAAATAACGCTTGTGCGAGCATAAAGTCACTTGCATGTCGTAATGAATTATTTCCAGACATCTAGACGAAAAATGACGTAACATTGAAAATCGCCATGGAACAAGAGTCCATGATCCGAAATTAGAACCCGTGTACGTATTGCGTATGCGTCTGTGCGTTTGCATACGTAACTCAACATATATATGTTTTATTACTGTCCAGCGGAAATATCTCCTAAAAAAAAAAGATCGCGTTTGATATGTTTAAATTTCTCATAATGATAAATACTTTTTCCTCGTACTGCTCATTACGTATTTTTATAGATTTGTAAGAAATTAATATAATTATATCCATAAAATGGAATCTAAAAAAATGTTTATAACGTGTATATCGCGTAAGCAGTTTCAAGGAGATATTGCCATTACTTTTAAATAGTCAATCATACTGACAATTTTATGATTATATGCTTATTAAAATACATATGCAACGCCTACTAATTAATACAATCATTCAATATATTATATCGTACGGAAGATTAATCTACGGCGAGCAATAAAAAATATTTGAGATAATGCGTGCAAAAAAAATATTTTCAACTACGAATTTCGAGCTTCGATTAATTCGATTTTTTAGTTACTTTGCACGGTTTTTTTCGTGTTTGAAATTACGTTTTGTATGCAAAGTAAATGTCTAGACGTCAAATAAACTTATGAATTTATATTATACGTTACATTAATTTATAATTAAATGCAAGACAGGAAGAGAAACAGGAGAGGGGATGAATGGGGATGAATATAAAATTTCAATCAATAGAATTACGCAAGAATCATAATATTTCCGGTTATTTCAAATTTAAATTTACGTGCAATTTATTTATTTTATCAAATTGCGCTAATCAAATAATCTCCTAACCACAGACGAGCAAAAACAGAAACGTGAAAATTATTATGACTTCGCAATGACTTCCATTTCAAGCCTCAAAATAGATCAATCTAGCGTAGAACAAAATATTTATTTAATGTTTTTCAAAGAAAATATATACAAAAAATTTTTCTCAATTTGTTAAAAAAAAAAAGTTTAAATTTATCATATATCCTTTATATTTCATCATCTATTTATGTCACATGTTCCAATATATCCTGTTTTGCATATTTCTTACCTGATTTCTTATATATAATTATAAATTAAATGCATCAATAAAAATTCTTTGATCTTATTCATGCATCTAATTGATCCAAAAACATATATTCCTACTAATATTTTATTTAAAAAGCTTTTCTTTGATCTTTGTTTATGTAATATAAAGTCTCTTTTCTGTCAAAATGTATTTATTTATTTTTTTAAATTTTCTAATTGTTTATATTCACTTAAGAATGTATGACAGTTATTTTTATTTAAAATAAAAAATTAACAATGATAAAATTATGGATTATTCTAAATTGCACTTAAAAAGTAATATAAAAAATTTTTTTGCGATGACTTAAAACCTAGTACAAAAATTATTTAAATAAAAGTAGAAATGTGTTTTAATAAAAATATAATTAAAATTTAATGACAAAAATCTTAATCTTTTTATATAAATTTTATATAAATACTTTAAGTATTCAAGATGGTTCGTAGTTATTTTAATTAAATAAATATTTAATTTTATTTGTACCACTACTCGTTTCGTTTGTACTCTAATTTCATTTTTATTTACAGAACAACTAATCTCTGCAATAAAGTTTTACATTATCTTAAATATTTAAAATTACTCACATAAGAAAAATTGAGATTTTTGTCATTATTTCTTAATTACATTTGCTCATTAGAGCACATTTCTACTTATTTAAATAATTTTTTATTCAGATTCTAAACAGCCACTAAATTTTTTTGTATTATTTTTTGTATTATTTTTAAATACGATTTTAAATAATCTCTAAGTTTTTCATAATTTTTTCATTGTAAATAGAAAAATTATAAAAAAATGATAATACATCTTTACAAACAATGTAATCGTATAGTAAATTTGAACGATAACATTAATACAATCTTCATTGTCATCCTCTCAAAATTAACCACGATATAACCGGACATATCAGAAGCACAAGTTCTTACCTGGTTTATCCAGCACGTCGTCATCGCCTCCATCTAGTCCGGATTGCAGACTCTGACTCGATGCATCGCGCGGAGATTCCCTTGGAGATTTGTGCAGCGAACGCGATTGCCAGTGGACCACTGACGATGCACGCTGACGTTCTCGGGTATCATGATGAAAAGACAGCCAAGCGCACGCGAGGCGAGGATGTAACGCCGCCCGGGTGAAGGAACGCTTGCGCGACAGCGATTCTCGGAAGGGAAGTTGCGAGATCGAAATCCCTTTCGATCTGCTCGTCGAGTCACGCCGGAAAGAAACCACGAAGAGTCCTCGTTCTACTCGCGCGCGTTCAGACTCGTCCGAGACCACCGTCGTCGCCGATGCACCACGACCCGGCCATTGATTTTTCTACGCCCGTCGCAGATTCAGAACCAACGCTGGCTTCAGCCCTTCAGATCAGCAGTCGTGACACGCGCCGTCGTATGCGACCTGAACGTAGCCGCGAACGCCGCCTGCGCGCGCCGCCTGCGCGCGTCGCGCATTCCGCGTTTCGTCGCGTTTTCGCGCGCTCAGCTACATCTGACGGTTGAATCCGATATCTCCTCGTTCGCTCGAACGGATTTCGAACGACGGTAAATAAATCAAATTTCTCACTCTCGCTGGATTCTCTATCGTTCGATATATAGTTGGGATGTGATATTTGAAGATAAATTTCCATTTGCTAAAGGTGAAAACTTTTGTTTTAAATATGAAACACGCTGCCATGAAATTGACCGAGAGTAATTCATTAATGTTTAAGTTTAATCGTTAAAAATTGTATATTAATGAATATCGATTTAATCGTATAATAAAATAGTAAATGTAATAAAAAGCGTAATAAATATCTATCATTCAGACTTAGATTTTTCATGAATTAACTCTTTCCAATCAAAACAAAGCTCTTTCTTATTTCAAATTTCTCAATGTGTTCAATCACGATCAGACGCGTATCTTCTGTTGCATTTGCATGTCATATTTACAGACTTTCCTTGTGACAGTACAATAGACACCACAGCAGCTGAGCTTCTCAATTCGTTTTTTCCAACATTCCGTCGCATTGATGGAACCGGATTTAAAGAGCCGCTTTTGAGACTTTACCTGTCCCTTCGTCCGTCAGACGTTTCAGACACGAATACCATTGGAATGCAGGTGCACATATCCGATGTATATCTGTATACATACACATATACAATACACATATATATATATATATATATATATATATATATATATGTATACCGGAGCAGGTAGAATATTTTCAAAGATTACCTCTCCGCCAGCGGAGCGAGCGTGAAGAAGTAACACCTGCCATGCGATAGAATCCGTACAATCGATGGACATCGATGATTTATAAGAAAGGAAACCGAAAGAAAAGAGAAAAAGAGAAGAAGAATAAATTCGCTAAACTCGTACGAAAGTGACAAGATAGAGGACCTTTGGAAAAAATTCGACTCGCATAGTTTTCCCGTTTCAAGAATTTTAATGCTACAAAAAATAACTGAGCGCTTCCTTTTTTCATTTTTCTGTGATCATCACATCGTCTAGCCGTCAACTTCTATTAACAACCGTCAATTTCTAATTACAAAAATTATTGATGAAAAAAACGGCATATTTTCCCATCGGCATACGCAATGCGTCCGTGAGAATTACGCACGCTGCGCATCTACTTCATGATCGTAAAGATGTTAACGTTCCCGTGTTGGGCTTAATCAACGTTTCCCGTTAAAAAATCAGCCGGAAAGTTTCATGGGAAATTCTACAATACAACTAATTGCTGAGGGAATCTCTCCGTGAATGCCGAGATCGAAGATATCGGAAAGATCCAGATTTTGATCTGCCGATAACAACCTTCAAAAAAAAATAATAATAAAAGCATTTCTGTTACAATTTAAAAATTCCATTCTCCGATTTTCAAAAGTGAGAGTGTGATCGACGATAGCTTTCGAGATGTATTTATATATATCTTTTTAATTTTTCATCTCTTGTAATTCTCTTTTCAAAATGCGTATTTTAGAAAGAAAATAAATTTAATCAAAAGAAAATTATTTCTATTTTTTTTAAGTATTCTAAATTTGTATTTCTGAATTGCAACATGAAGTACCTATCATTAGTCCCATCGAGTCCCGAATAAATCATGGGATCCTACGTATGAATCTCGGGTCCTCCCACGATTTCCGAGTTCACGTTTTAACCCTCTCCTTCCGCGAGCCAATCGGGAGATCGCGGCGCGTTCCCGCGTTGAGACCCGGCGTCGTCCGCAATCACTTCAAGTTCGCCGTGCGGTCGCCATGTTGTTAGTACGTGATTTCGAACGCTCGTGCACGTTGAGGCCCGCGTGGGCGTCGCTGAAATTCGACGGAACGTCGGACCCACGACGCGAATTTACGCGCCGATAGACTCGCGACGAACGAGATTTAATGACATACTTCAAGTCGCAATTCTCGGATTCCGGAGTAAAATTATTACTGATCGACGTCGCAGCGAAAAGAGATCGATTGAAAGCGAGTTTATCGTTACAGAATTTAATCGAGAATAATCAGAAGATACAGAATGAATTAAGAAAGTACGAGTTGCGAAATAACAATGAAATAATGCGAAGATAGACACATTAAAAGAAAAAGAAAAAAAAATCTCATAATTTCGAGTGAAAAGTTTAAACGTGGTCCAGAGGTAAATAGAGAAGGAAGTCT